GACTGGAGTTCAGTTCTCAGCACCTGAATAGCTCATTATCTTTTATAACTGTTGTAGCCCCCACATTGCAGCGCCAATCTGTTGTAGGATTTCAGTCAGAGCCAGCTGACTTGCTCAGTTCGTACCTGAGATGGGGAGTGTGGATTGAGAAACGGCAGATAAAGACACTAAGAAAAATACAGAAACACAGAATAGAGTCAGGAGGGCAATCCAGTGAATACTGAACACCCCAAGTTTATTCTACAACATTCTTTTTGTTTGTCTGTTTGTTTTTGTTTGTGTTTGCTTTTTGGTTTTTTGAGACAGGGTTTCTCTGTATTGTTTTGGAGTCTGTCCTGGAACTCACTCTGTAGACCAGGCTGTCCTCAAAGTCACTGCCTCCTCTGCCTCCTGAGTGCTGGGATTAAAGGTGTGTGCCACCAATGCCTGGCTATTCTTCAAAATTCTTAAGTACCCCAAAGGGGAACATGGAAAAAAAGTTCTTTATCTTGTATAAAGAACAAACAGACTTTCTTCCCCTAATTCTCCAAACATTTGTAACCACACTTTAGACTCAGTTTCCCATTATCCGATCTTGAGGGTGAAGAGTAACCATACCTCAGACCCAGTCTGTTGTTATTTAGATAAGACACCCACTACTAAGATCAAACATCCTACAGTAGCCACCACGCCTTAGACCTTTAGGGCTTATGTCTTTAACTTTGGGAGACTAAGGACGGTTTTGAACTCTCTGACCTGAGTCAAGATGGAGCAGAGCTATCTTTATGGGTTCCCAACATATAACTCCAATTCCAGGGAAATTTTCTGGTTTCTGTTATTGCTTTGGAGCCTGTCCTGGAACTAGCTCTGTAGACCAGGCTGGCCTCAAACTCACAGAGAGCTGCCTCCTGAGTACTGGCATACTTAGGGTTTTATTGCTGTAATAATATATACAATGACAACTCTTTTTTTGGAGGGGGTTTGTAAGGAGTAAGGTTTTTCCTCCCGCCGCCGGTCTTGTCCCGCCACTGCACCAGCCCCAATTAATACACCGAGACTCTGTATTTGATATAATGCTGTTGGCCAGGTACTAGTTTCTTATCGGCTAGCTCTGTCTTAATTATTAACCCATTTCTGTTGATCTAATATTTTCACATGCTTTCTTCTTACCAGGGAATGGGGCAGGCGTCTCGTCTCCCCAGTCTCTCCATGCTGACTCCTCCCTACTACTTCCTCCAATCCTCCTAGTCTCCTAGTCCCGCCTATCTTCCTTTCCTATTGACCAACAGTGCTTTATTCATTAACCAGTATGAGAAACATATTTACAGAATGACATTTCCCATCGGGGGTTTTTGAGACAGGGTTTTTCTTTGTGGCCCTGGTTGTTCTGGAACTCACTCTGTAGACCAGGCTGGCCTCAAACTCAGAGATTCACCAAGGCAACTCTTACAAAGGAAAACAATTAATTGGGAGTGGCTTACAGTTTAGAGGTTTAGTCCATTATTGTCATGGTGGGAAGAAGCATGGCAGCTGCAGACAGACATGGTAGTGGAGAGGTAGCTAAGATTTTCGGCAGCAGGCTAAGTGAGCAAGTGAGTTTGGCCTGTCTTGAGTTTCTGAAACCTCAAAGCCCATCCTCAGTGAAATACTTCCTTCAACAAAGCCACACCTACTCCACAGGACCATAACTCTAAATAGTGCCATTCTCTATGAGCCTGTGGGGGGCATTTCATTCAAACCACAGTCTCCAATTCTGAGTAAATATTTATCAAATAATTTTTTTTTCATGGAGAAGCATTCACTTTAGGCTGCTCTAGTGGATGGGTTCTATTAGGTTTTATGGTACTAGTCTAGCCATCTTTTTGTGAGGACAAGCTGTCGTTTAATAGCACCAGGTCACTGGATGGCTAGTGCTCCTACCCCAGATCCATTCTGTCTGCTCCAAGATAAAAGTGTGTGGTTAAGGACATTCTTCTACAAATAGGAGCATGAAGTGACCTACGGGATGACCCATGGGCCCTCAGCAGAAAGAGAAGTGTGAGCGCCCACACATGGATGGAGTCAGAAGCATCATGAGCTACCTATTCTTGTGACAATGAAGACCTTCTTGCCTTCAGGACTATGAAGGTCTGCCCAGCTATGAGGGAGGTGTGGCCTGAAGGACAAATGTCCACAGGTCCTGACTGAACCTTCAAATTCCCTAAAAGTGTTTATTTTATCAAGGTCAATATCATTGTGCTTCTATGTCATCCAGGGACATATTAATCTGAGCTCCTGACATGCAGATTCCCGATTCTTGTCCCTGCTCATTTACCTGCTTCACTTGGTCATAGAAGTGGTCTTAGCACAGTGCCAAGTGCTGTCTCTGGTACCCTAGATTGTGGTATTCTTACAGAGGAAAAAGACATATTAGAGAAGCTTCTTTCCTTTCGGGAGTGTGAGCGCTAGCACTGCCGGTCCACAGAAGAAAATAATGAATCATTGTATGTTACTTATTAAATAAGGAATCTGTAAGCAGAGGCACATAGGGGAAAAGGTCATGTGTCAAACAAGTGCCCTAGCTAGCAGAACCTTTGTGTCCCCTGAGGGCAGGGATGCAGCATTCCTTTCAGGGTCTGCAGTGGTCTGTCCACAAGGTTCTTTAGGATCAGAATTACTGCAAGTAACAAGCATCTGAGTTCCTGAGGCCCCTGCCAATGAGAACAAAAGGCTCAGCAGAAGACAGTAAATGTATGAAGGCTTTGTAGCATAGCCAGAAATGGCAAGCAGCTAAGATGGGTGGAGGTCTTCTGACATCAGAGATACCCCTGCACTATGACCAGAAAGCATGGAATACAAATTTGAGGGTCCATAGTAGCAGTGTTCAGCCTAGAGAATCTTCCACAAAACTGGTAGAAATATTAATTTAATTTTTGTGTGCATGTATGTAAAAGTAAAGCCAGTTTAGTATTATTATGTTTTGAGACAGGGTCTCAAACATATACTCATAGACATCTCCCTGCCTCTTGAGTGCTGGGATTAAAGGCATGCACCACCATACTCAGCAGTCTAGTATCATTTTCTAAAGTGACTATAATGTACCCTGCTACCTCTGATGCCACTCTAGCCATTTGAGTATCTGTCTGGGTATGGGCCATACAGGAACAAGGATAGAATGTTCATGATATGTTAATCATAAAAATAAAAGTCTGAGCAGGGTGGTGGTGACACACACACCTCTAATCCTAGCAATCAAGATACAGAGCCATGCAGATATCTGAATTCGGGGCCAGCCTGGTCTACAGAGTGAATTCCAGGACAGGCAGGGCTACACAAAGAAACCCTGTCTCAAAAACAAAAACAAAAAAGTTATGAGCCTGAGCCCATTGGCAGTAGAATAATCAATAGTGCACACAGTGCTTACATGGAGATACCAGCAATTAAGGCACAATTAACTTTGGACTACAATTAAAAAAAAAAAAAAGATTCATGAAGCTCACCAGCAAAACAATGAGAAGACTGTTAAAACCAGGCTAGTCTCAAACTCACAGAGATCTGCTTGCCTCTGCCTCCCTTTTAATCCTCTGCTGGGATTAAAAGTATGCACCACCACTGCCCAGCTGCCTTTTCTTTTTCTTGATTGATCAGTCAGCCATCTGTTCTGGTTGTTTCCCTGCCTGGATGCTTTTCCTGAACCTGATCCTAGCTTCTCCATAGGCCAATGACTGCCCCTGGCCTGTTAGAGGGGAGTGAGTCCTGAAGCAATGGAGGGTCAAGGCTCTCCCAGATTCCCATGAGTCTTTCCTCTGCCAATTGGCCATTTTTGGATTATTTTTTCTCCTAGGCAAGCAAAGCTCTTCAAAGTCAGGCTTCCCTGTTTCAATCTCAAGAGTTTCTTATTCATCTCCAGGCTTTTCCTAGGTAGTGACTCTACCCTGGTGATGTTACCCTCCCTTGATAGTACTTTTGGCACTGTTTCCTTCCCTTAATGTACTGATCCTGCAGGTACCCCCACTGTAGTCACTGGGGAATGGGCTAGGGCTCAGGATCTCCTTGGAGCACCATGCCAAAAGGTTTTCCCCTGAAAGACCCACAGAGCGATACCCCAAATCACTCACGAGAAGCTGTCTTGATGCAAACTGAATGAGATCTTGTTTATTCCAAGTGCACTGGGGTCCACAGTCATACGCCACACTGGGGTAGAGGATTGAGGACCCCAAGTGCAGAATTGAGACAACTTTTATAGGGTTTACAACAAAAGCCACACATGGTAAACCAATCATCTCATAGCATCATGAGTCCGTGCGGTGCGGGGCAATCAATTTAAAACATTTTATAGTTTTTAGACCAATCATTTTAAATCATCCAAGCCCGCACTTTATAGACCAATCAGCTTTCTCTAGTCCCGGAGGTCTGCATTTGCCTGGCCTCCTAGACCTTTTGCCTATTTACTGGCAGAGGACAGGGTCTGGAATTTAAGTTATTTAGGGCTTTTTAGATAGTATTTTTAAACTTCTAGCTTTCTGGGGTCATTGGAGAATTAGGCTTTATTTTTCCATCCTTATACCCCAACTCCAAATCAGGACAGGGCTACAGAAGCAAGGCCCTTGGGGACCACTGACAATGCGGGCAGAAAGACTGTAAGTCCAAAGTCACAGGCATTATCTGCACATCACAAAACTGTGGTTACTGTGGATGCTCTTTCTTTGCATGCATGTCCTCAACGACCTGGGAACACACTGAAGGAAAGTTGTCATGGGATAAGGGAGCTTGTGGGAGCACCGCTGAAGTTTCCAGCTAACTATGAATGTTCCCATAGATTCCCTCCTGCAAAGGCCTCATATCCAGTATCCTGAGATCCGGTGGAAAGTCTAGTCCATTCCTTGTTTTGCTTATCTGGACGGAGGGCATATTGAGTCCTTGTGGGTCACCTTGCCCCTCCTTCTGGTGCAAAGGCCCCGCCTTCAGCAGGGCGGCACCGCCCCTCTAGGGGCCCCAGTCTCTCCGTTCGGCCCGCCCACGTGAGCCTGCGCGTTTGGTAGCTCAGTCGGAAGCTGGAAGTGATCACTGCTGAGGGTCCTCCACACCGTGGATCTGGTTTTGGCACGCTGCTGGAGCTGGGACTGTCGGATTGTGGATGGCGGCGGCTGCGGAGCCGGGGGCCCGGACTTGGCCGGACAGCAGTTCCCCACGTCTCGGTAGCCCGGCCGGCAGCCCGGTACTGGGCATCTCAGGCCGCGCACGCCCGGGGTCAGGGCCAGAGCGGACTGGTAGAGCTATTGGCCCTGCAGCGCCCGGCCACATCTTCCGCAAGGTGACACTCACCAAGCCCACCTTTTGCCATCTCTGCTCGGACTTCATATGGGGACTAGCCGGCTTCCTGTGCGAAGGTGAGAGTCCACCCTACGTCCTGAGGCCGCTCCCAGCCTCCTCCTTGGGCACTGCCGTGACCTTTGAGCCCTGTCCCTCTTGGCAGGGGCCTTAGACAGTCTCTTGTTTGAAAAAGATCACCTATAGAGGTGATGCCTGCTTCTAGGGATAGAACGGTGTCACGAGTCTGGCCCCTCTTGGCCTGGGATCTCAGGATTTCCTAGTGTAAGGTGGAGACAGAGTCGCCATAGTGCAATGGTTGGAATCCAACGGAGTTGCAAGAGGCAAGGTGGGTGTTGAGTCAGTTGCTTGGCCTGGTTACAGAGATGTGAAGGTAGGACTGAGACCTTAGGCAGTGGGAGTCCCTCTGGTATTCTGTGTCTGGCCTCCTAAGCCACAAGTGGGCAAACAGGGCTGGTCTGAACCATAGGTCTTGGTCATTCTTGTCCCGAGTGCAGGCTGATGCACAGAAGGACTAAATGCTGCTTTGCTCAGGCTCAGCTGCTTGAAGAGTCAGACCCAGCCTTCTTTACAGATGTGGCATGTCCTGACACAGCTCCCACCAGCTGCCAAGCTGGCTGGGCAGGGCAGGGCAGGGCAGAGGATGGCACCTCTTCCCCTGCTCCTCAGGTAATTCTGTGTCTGGCACTCTTTGTGTTCTTCTTCTTGTGAGGAGGCAGGCCCTGAGACCCACAGCCCAAGTCTGTGAGGGGCATCTGGGCTTTGACAGTATGTCCTGACCAGGGACTGAGGAGGGACCATTTAAGGAATATCTGTCCTGCTCAGGGAGACAGGCTTGTGCTCTGGGCAGTATCACTGAGGCCATATCTCCTCACACAGGCGTGCCTTTTGCTAGTGGTGATGTCTGGTTGTCATGGCCCCTCAGGGCTACTAGTGACATAGGAGTGGTCACCTGGTCTTCTCCATCAGATCAGAAATATACTGCCCTACTTGCCCTTTTGGAACACTGAGATGAAGGCTGTGATGTGTGCATTGACTTAGCTGCTAGTCTGAAGCTATACCTCAGGACCTACAAGGGTGGCATAGGCAGGGCTTCAGGTAGAAGGGTAGCTCTCTGACTCACTTTATGGGTGAAAGTCACAGAAAGCAAAACTTCCATTCTAAGTCTAATCTTGGTAGTAGAGGTAGACCTACAGGTCAGAGGTCAGAGGCTACAGCTAGGATTTCTGTAAAATTGAGAGATAATGAAAGTAGGACTTGAAGTCTAAGGATAGACTCCTGATACCCCTTGTAAATATGACCCCTGTGGAGTCAGGAAACACAAGCAAAATCTGGTATATAGCAGCTTGAGAGTCTGGTCCTCAGGCAAGGGTGCAAAGCCCCTTCTAGGCAGCTTTGTGGGAAGTGGGCTGAGACCCCAGAAGATCTCTTCACAAAGGTATGGGTAGAGCTCTTCTACCTGCAGAAGCATGTAAGGTGTTCTGCACACAACAGGCAAGACAGTACAGGGTAGAGTAAATGGAGTGCCTGGGGAAGACTCCTGTTGGGTCATTACTTTCTCATCTGCTTTTTTCACCAGCTCAATCTAGTCTCCTTCCAATAGTTTTCTTTGGAACATCCCATGGAAAGTTTTTATTTGTCCCCTTTTAGGACAGAGGTGTAACCTCCTCCACAGTATCCCGCCTGTGGAGTCCAGCCCAGGCACCTCACTCACTTGTCCTCCCCCAGCTCTGATAATGTTATACAGGCTTATATCCCCTCTTATGTATCTCCAGGTTTGTTTCACTGCTGAAATTCTATTTGTGCTGACACAAATCCCCCCTTCCCAACCAGGTAGAGGTGTGTGTGTGTGTGTGTGTGTGTGTGTGTGTGTGTGTGTGTGTGTGTGTTTAAGTCCTGAGCTCCTCCCACAGCTGTTTATGTACACTCTGCCTTTGGAAACTCTCTTTGCTCTTCTATTGGCCTCAGAGACAAGGGAGTTCTGAGTCAGTGTGAGGGTCATGGGCCATTCCCAAGACAGCAATGCACAGTCAGCTCCAACCATGGTCACACTGTGGCATCTGGCCCTTGGACTCTTGAGGATGGTGTTACTGCATGTTACCATACTGACAGAGACCACAGGAATGGCATCCCTGCCACTAAGTGGCCCAAAAATAGGGTACCACACTGGCTCAGCTCAAGAACTTCGTCCATCGGCTCTGGCTGACTGGCCTCTTTATGATGAGATCTTAGCCCTATTGTGGAATCCTGCTGCCTTGATATGCTGACAAAGGCTGAATCTTAGGACCTTTCACCTCCTTAGTGTATGGGGCTGCTTAGCAAGGTGGGCTGACTCACAGCTCTCTTCCTGCAGTCTGCAACTTCATGTCCCATGAGAAGTGCCTGAAGCAGGTGAAGACGCCGTGCACAAGCATCGCTCCAAGCCTAGTACGGGTGAGTGTGAGGGCAGTGCACATGGCTCTCATGGGCTTATATGCTGACCTCTAGCTGTCCTTTGTATTGTCAATTTAGCCACATCATAGTTAGGAAGCAAAGGGCAGAGTTCTGCTCACATTCAGAAGGAAGGAGCCATTGATGAGCTAAACACCCTGAGTGGATCTCTAGGGAATTATATTGAGAAAAGTCAGTGTCAAAGGGCACATACTTGTCTATGGAACACTCTGAATGAGGAAGCCAGAGGAGCACAGATCAGAGGTTCAAGATAAGAAAGTGGATGTGGCTGCAAAAGGGCCAAATGAAGGGTCCTGGAGGCTGGGTACTTTGCTTGGACTGCATACACTCTCAGTGATCTGGCTATGACACTGACCAGTTTTTAAAATTGTTAACATTGGAAAATGGGTAAAGACCACAGGGGATCTCTGGATTGTTTCTCACAAGTGTGCATAAACCCTTAGAGGTTGTAAAAAACCTCAGAGTCTTGGAGTTGGTTTGGCTATTGACCTTCTGCCACAGGGCTCTGGATAGGGTAGTGAGGCTCCTAGCAGGGCACAGAGACTTTCGTTCTGTGAGTGATGGTAGTGGTGACAGCAGCATAGTGACAGTTGTTCAAACAGGTGAGCATGATGGCCTCACTTCCCATATCTGCATTCACAAGGCCAGTTCACTGGTAGCTCTTTTGCTCTGCACTAGCAGGCAGGTCCTGCCTCCCAGCAGTGAGGAGAGGAGACGTAGATAGGGGGTGTGATGAGGCACCACAGTAAGCAGAGGTTGAAGCTGATAACTGTACTTAACACTGTCATCTTTCTTTTAACATTGCTGCTTGATGGATACTTGATTACTAGGTGTGAGTACAAAAATCTAAGAATGCTGGCTGCTGTCATCTCACGATGCTATGCTTGCCAGAGTGGTACCCTTGTGAACATGTTGAAGCTATAGCTATATTTTAAATATCATTTTAAGATCTCAATGTTTTATTATTTTTACTTGAAAATCAAAATGAATAGTAGTATGATTTCAAAAAATCTCAGAGAATGTAAAAATCGTCTTCCTGACATATATACTACCCTTCTAGTGTACAGTCTTTCTAGTCTGCTAATTGAGTGTTTTTTAAGTCTTAAGATCTTACCCCTACAATCTGCTTTCTTGGGAAGGCAGCTTACCGTCACATGTTCACAGTCACTGTGATTGTCTCCAAGAGGGCAGATCTGGGGGGAGTTGGAGGCTCCTGAATCTAACAAGGCAGGTGCCTGGTAGTTGACAGTCTTGTTGGACTATGGAGTAAGGAATGGATGTCAGGTGGACTTCCATTACCTGTGCTTACTCTACTATAGTTGTGAAGTTACAGAGTCCTTTCTCTGCTCACATGTCCCACAGTCAGCCAGGCTAGTATAGATGGATTGAGGTAGGCACTCTGAAGTGGACCTGAGCTACAGATCTGAGAAGGTGAAGGAGGAAATGAGATGACCCCCTCTGTCCAAGCAGTTATCAGCAGGTGATGCTGGGCCAGTTCACAGGGCTACCAGAGATAAGGGTACAGAAGTAGGCGGGCCCAAATCTGAGGATTGCTCTGCCCCAATAGGTTCCTGTAGCCCACTGCTTTGGCTCCCTTGGGCTCTACAAGCGCAAGTTCTGTGTGGTCTGCCGCAAGAGCCTGGAGGTTCCTGCGCTCCGCTGTGAAGGTACCATTGGACTTATGGTCCCTTTTGGAATTGAACCTATTGCTCAAGGGGCCTGGTCTTTGCTGCTCTGGGTAGCCCAGCTCTCCTCTACCTGTAGTTTGTCAAGTGCATGGGTAGTAGGCTCAGGCTAATCTTGGGGCCTCCAACAGTAGGAGCCTCTACAAAAAGCAATCAGTCTAAAAGATGATTCAGGATGGCAGGGATTGGGGTTGGAGCCAGTGAGGAGAGGGCAGGGGTATGGCAAGAGGCCCCTAACCTTGCCTGCCCCCCAGTGTGTGAGCTGCACGTTCACCTCGACTGTGTGCCCTTCGCCTGCAGCGACTGTCGTCAGTGCCACCATGATGGACAGCAGGATTATGTGAGTGTACAAGTATTGGGGTAGGTTTGGTAGTGGTTGGGTGCCTAAACTTCTGACTGCCCCCCATTCCCAGGACACATATCACCACCACTGGCGGGAGGGAAACCTGCCTTCTGGTGCACGATGTGAGGTCTGTAGGAAGACTTGTGGTTCCTCAGATGTGCTGGCTGGTGTACGCTGCGAGTGGTGTGGTATACAGGTGGGCATGGGGATGGGGTGGATGGGGCCTTAGGTGTGGGACAAAAGAGCTGAAGCTGTCAGGTAGGGGTGGGATGTATGATGGGGTGGGGGAGTTCCTTTCTTTCAAATTGTCTACATCCTATTGCTTACTGGGTTGTGGAGTAACACCTCTGGCTTTGCGCACCATCTAGATAGGTGCTTAGCCTGGTGGATATGGACTTGGCTAGCTTTCTGCCCAGAGCACCAGATTCATACCTGTATCCCACCAGGCCCACTCAGTGTGCTCCACAGCACTCACACTCGAGTGTACATTTGGGCGTCTACGCTCCTTGGTGCTGCCTCCTTCATGTGTGCGCCTGCTGTCCCGAAACTTCAGCAAGATGCACTGCTTCCGCATCCCTGAGACCATTGCCCTGGAACTTGGTAAGGCAGAGAGGTGGCACTGGGGTGAACCCTGTCTAGGCCAGGCACTGAATTCAAGGACTTTGTTTATCTTGCAGGTGATGGGGGCGATGGCCTAGATGCAAGTGCTGCCACAGGCATAGGCAGAGAGATGCTGACAGCTACAGAATCCAGTAAGTATCCCACTTAGCTGTCACTCTGTCCTGCCTAGTTCCAGGCCCCCAAGATTCTCAGCTGCTCCCCTCTGGCCTAGCCAAACAGATCCTGAAGATCTTTGATGGCAACGACTCCATGAGGAAAAATCAGTTTCGCCTGGTTACAGTTTCCCGCCTGGCTCGGAATGAGGAAGTGATGGTAAGAATGAGCCTGTGCACAGAGGTACACACCACCTTACCTGGAGCCCTCTGTTTACCTGACCCTTCATATCTTGCCCCCTTCTCAGTTGGATTCCCCATACCTGCCCCTGTCCCCTTAACCTCCATACCAGGTTCTCTGTTCACCTGGCCCCACATTCTTGGCTCTATCCTCTACAGGAGGCAGCACTTCGGGCCTACTATATCAATGAGGATCCTAGGGACTTCCAGCTGCAGGCACTGCCCCTAACCATAATGTCTGGGGCTACTGAGGAAGAGGCTAGCAAAGGCTCTGGGCCCCAGGAGTCAATGCCTGAGGCCTGGGTCATCAGGTCTCTACCTCGTGCCCAGGAGATCCTCAAGATCTATCCTGGCTGGCTCAAGTAAGACTCAAAGCACAGGCTCTGATGAGGGAGGGTTAGGGTGAAGACCCAAAGCCCAAACTTTGAGCCTGTTTCCCCCCACAGGGTTGGTGTGGCCTATGTGTCCATCCGTGTGGACTCACAGAGTACAGCACGGTCTGTGGTTCAAGAGATTCTCCCACTGCTTGGTCGACAGGTATGTACACTGTCCATTCCCACCCAACTTTGGCATCACCTGTCCAAAGGGCCAAGCTACTATTCCTCTGAATGTCTTGTGGATATAGGAGTTCTGTCCTAGGCCTAATGTTTTTCGCCCATGCTGTGTAGGTTGAGGATCAGGAGAGATTCCAGCTGATTGAGGTGCTCATGAGCAGCAGACAAGGTAAGTGGGCTGCATTTTTTCAGATTCTTTTATGCAGTAGGTTTGGGTCTGCTGCTCTGGGAGGCCTACCAGTACACTGGGACTAGACTGTGCCCTTCTGATCAGTGCCACCTAGATTCACTTTCATCCCCACATGCCCCAGAGGCTCAGAGAAGCTGTTTGTGGAAGGGAGGAACCCAGTGCTGACATGCTGTGTCACTCAATCCTACAGTTCAAAGGACAGTGCTAATGGATGAGGAACTTCTGCTAGACCGACTCTGGGACATCCGACAGGTCAGTGGGTATAAACAACACTTCTAGGGAACTGCCAGCCCTTAGCCATGGCCTATAGGAGAATGCCACAGAAGCTGTCCACTCACCTGCCACTTGCAGAGGAACATTTCTCAGATACTATATCCTTCCCAATCATCAGCTGATATTTCTGGCTGGCAGTAACCTCTATAACATGTCACTTATGTCTAGCTGGGATGCCTTGAGTCTCAAGAGTATCCCAGTTAGTCCCCTCAAGAGCTAAGTGGGGAGATGGAGAGATGTTGCTGGCACTGCTGCCCAGCATTCCCCATTCCTGTTCTTCCTATAGACATCTGTGCGCCAGGTGAGCCAGACGCGGTTCTACGTGGCTGAGAGCAGGGCCATGGCCCCACATGTCTCACTGTTCGTGGGTGGTCTGCCACCTGGTTTGTCCCCCCAGGATTACAGCAACCTGCTGCATGAGGCCATGGCCACTAAAGGTGTGACCTTGGGCTATCCAGGGCTCTGGCTGGGAGAGGGTCCTGACTGGGCAAGGGGCTATGGTGCCAAGCCTAAGTTCTCTTGCCTCTTCATGCACCATCTGAAGCCCATGCTCAGTTCCCACCCCAGGCCAGCCAATATGGCCCTCACTGAGAGGCTTCTGGTTTCCTAAAATACTTATTTAGTGTAATCTTCTTCTAGGGGGAGTCCCTGTACATTCAGGAGTCAGGGACCTTGTTTGAGAATAGGGCATGAGCAATTCCCAGGGGGCTGACCCCAATGGATGGGTCAGGGCTACTTGGGTGGGCTGTACTCTGGATGTAGATGCCCTTAGAAGGGAGGCTGGTCCCAGATTGGGAGATCAGGTCCAGTCCTCAATATGCCACACTGACTGCAAACTGTCTATGCAGCTGCTGTGGTGTCTGTGAGTCACGTCTACTCCTTACAAGGTGAGCTGATGTCTGGTGGATATTCCTGGAGTGGGATGGAAAAACCTGCCCTTTACTTACTCCCTTCTCTAGATCCACATGCCTGGAATCATCCCTTGGTTTTCTTTGCTGGTTCACATCTGTTGCTTTTGTTATAATATGGCTGAGATTAGCTATTTTTCCCAATCTTTGTCCTTTCTGGGCCAGCATCTTTTACTGGGGAAGAAAGGTTTCAGATACATTGCCATCCTTCTTGGCATGTGAACCCAGGATACTGAGAGATCATGCTGTGTTCATAGTACTAGAATTGGGTGTGTGGTTGGTCAGGGAAATGAGCCTCTTTACCCACTGCTGGGTCCTGAATTCAGCCTGCTTTCTGTGGGAAGAGTGGCCCCTTAACTGTGGATGCATGCTACCCAGCTGACATGAGCTGGCTGTGGTCAGAGCTGAGGCTGGGACTGATAGCTAAGACTTTCCTGGGTGCCTGATTGGCATGGTACACAGGAGAGATTTTGTGGGTGTGACATCTTGGGGTGGGTTTCATAGGATAGACTCCAGCCTGAATACCATTTCAGTAAGATGCACAATATATCCTTCCTTAGACACTTGGGGGCAGGATACACAGGATTCCTCACTGAGTACCCTATGGCTGGGGTACATAGAACACTTACCCTGAGCTTTTTGGCTCACCTGTGGCAGGTGCAGTAATTCTGGATGTCACCTGCTTCGCAGAGGCTGAGCGGCTATACATGCTGGCCAGGGACACAGCAGTGCATGGCCGGCCACTAACTGCACTAGTGCTTCCAGATGTGCTGGTAAGTTGTTAGAACTCTGTGACCAGCTTAATGCCCCAGGACCATGACCTCATTGCCAGATGGCTGGTACATGCCACATTGGCCTAACTTATATCACCCAAAAGATTGGGGTCAGAGTCAGTGCTTGTCCAAAGTTTCTGAATGAGTGAGACATGATGCTTAGGACCAAGGCTGGTGGGCTGGAGAGATGGCTCAGAGGTTAAGAGCCATTAGAGAGCCTGAGTTCAATTTCCAGCAACCACAGGGTATCTCACAATCATCTCTAATGATATCTGGTGCCCTCTTCAGCTATGCAGGCATACATGCTTGCAGAACACTGTACATAATAAATCTTAAAAAAAAATGAAAAAAGGACCAAGGTTGGTTTCACATTAGAAATGGTGATCTTCTAACTTATTGGGATTACCACAAAACACAGCTCCACCCCACTTAAGGCCAGAGTGTGTTGTGACAAATGTGTCTACATGCTGCCAGGCCCTATCCTTTGAGTATGATGCTGACCCCAGGTGGTCCTGTGCCTAGGGTTATTTTTGGCCAGTAGGTGGAGCTCCCTTACTACAGGTACCACTCATGACCTGGCAATGGCTGGGAAGACATATACCCAGATGGCAACAGAGAGCAGAGGAGTTGCATGTGAAGAGTGCCAGAAGGGTTTATGCCTGGGCCCCACAAAGTTCTCGCAGGTGTCCATAGCTTTCTTGTACTCTGAGCCCTGATCTTGACCATACTCAATTCTAGGAGCAACAGAATTCAAGTGGAATGAGTTTGGGAGACTGATAGGTTCAGGAGGTACCTACTGGTCCCTCCTACCCACTGGTCCTGCCCTGGAAGTAGCTGTTACCAATGCCTCAGGATATAAGGTTCCCAATATGTTTAACCAGGCACTGTCCTCACTAGCTCTGTGGCAGAAGCATGAGGCCATACTCAGTTTCTGTTTTCTATCTGCTGCCTGTCCTGGGACAAGTGAGTAAGTGTTGAGTGCAGGCAGCTCTGCCCATCCAGTGGATACCCCATCTCAAGTATATCCTTGTCAGGCATAATGCAGCCCCTGTGCTGCTGTCTATGCTGTGTCTGTACTTGGCTTGTGTGTCTCCTTTTACCCAACAAGTGGGACCTGAACTGCCTACTGTGTCTAAGGACTATCTTTTGGCATTATGTATAGGAAGATTGATTTTGTCCCCATTGTAAACTGAGCCCTTTGGCTGCCATGTGGCAAGTGGGACATGGAAGCTGCTGACTTCCAAAGGGTATTTGGTAGTTTGCAAGGGCCATGCCTCACTCCAGCTGGCTAGTGGTGGACTTGTGGCTTCATGGGTAGGAATGGTCCCTTAACATATGTCATAGTGGGTATGTCCCTGGCATTTGATCTTAGAGCTCCAAGCAGCTATAGTGGTACTGTCAAGGGAAAAGATATTATAAGAGGTCTGTAATGAGTTGGAGATAAGTGCCTCAAGAAGAACTATGGCTTAGGAGGCTTGGAATGTGAAGCTGGACATTGCTTGGCAGTCCCTATGTGGGACCTTGACTTCAACATAATTCAGTCCCCCACTTCTCAGCACACGAAGCTGCCTCCTGACTGCTGCCCCCTCCTCGTGTTTGTGAACCCAAAGAGTGGGGGCCTCAAGGGCCGAGAACTGCTCTGCAGTTTCCGGAAGCTACTGAATCCACACCAGGTCTTTGAATTGACCAACGGGGGCCCTCTTCCTGGGTGAGTCTGGAGTTTTCTGGCTAGTAGAAACTTCAAATGGGACTGCTGGAATCATTGAATTTTCTATGTGGCCAGAGATGGACATCTGAAAAGGGCTGCCCAGGGCAAGTCTTGGCCTGGGTAGCCAGGAGGTAGTGGCAGAACAATGTCTCCCACACAGGTTCCACCTTTTCTCTCAGGTGCCCTGTTTTCGGGTACTGGTGTGTGGTGGAGATGGCACCGTGGGCTGGGTGCTCGCTGCCCTGGAGGAGACAAGGCGCCATCTGGCCTGCCCAGAGCCATCTGTGGCCATCCTGCCCTTGGGTACAGGTGGGCTTAGCCATCAGCTTGAAGGATGGGGTCTCAGGGCTGTACCTACTATGAGTTTTGCTAGGGATTTATGGTGGTATGTGGATTATGCTGTCTTTCATGCTTCCTAGGGAATGACCTTGGCCGGGTCCTCCGTTGGGGGGCAGGCTATAGTGGTGAGGACCCATTCTCTGTGCTGGTGTCTGTGGATGAGGCTGATGCTGTGCTCATGGATCGCTGGACAATCCTGCTGGATGCTCATGAGACTGATAGTGCAGAGAATGGTGTGGTAGACACGGAGCCTCCCAAGGTACCAGTGTGACACCTGCTTGGATCTTACAATTGACTCCCCTTTTGCTGATGTGCATCTTTCCTCCTGAGGCACAGCAGGAACTTTCTAACTCAAGCCTGTGGGGTTGTGGGGTTCTGCCTTCTTTAGGGGTGTTGTGGCATTTAAGCAGAGAAATTACTAGGAAAGGGCATTGGTGACAACAGAGTTAGGGATGGCTGGCACTCAGGAGTGGCTGGCCAGCATTCTGGTTATGCCCTGTCTCCAGATTGTTCAAATGAGTAACTACTGTGGCATTGGTATCGATGCGGAGCTCAGCCTAGACTTCCACCAGGCACGTGAGGAGGAGCCTGGCAAATTCACAAGCAGGTACTAGTAGGGCAGGACTGGGTACTGGGTCACTTACAGCAGCCAGCAGCTTTTACCTGGTAATGCAGGGCACCTACCTCCCGTGTGCAGGTTCCACAACAAGGGTGTATATGTGCGGGTCGGGCTGCAGAAGATCAGCCACTCTCGAAGCCTACACAAGGAGATCCGGCTGCAGGTGGAGCAGCAGGAGGTGGAATTACCCAATATTGAGGGTCTCATCTTTATCAACATCCCCAGGTGCTGGGGCTGGGCTCTCAGAGACTCTGCAGTTTGGGCCAGGCGCTAGGTCTGTGTCTGGTCTGTGCTTAACTTTGTATTTTAATCTTTTGGGGGCAGCTGGGGCTCAGGGGCTGACCTGTGGGGCTCTGACAGCGACTCAAGGTTTGAGAAGCCACGCATAGACGACGGGCTGTTGGAGGTAGTGGGTGTAACAGGTGTCGTGCACATGGTGAGCACTGGCAGGCTGGTGGGCAAGCCCTGTGATAACCCTTGGGCCCCACTAGCCAGCTCAGCTTTTGTCTTGCCCAGGGCCAGGTCCAGGGTGGGCTGCGCTCTGGAATCCGCATTGCCCAGGGCTCCTACTTCCGTGTTACACTCCTCAAGGCTACTCCAGTACAAGTGGATGGTGAGCCCTGGATTCAGGCCCCAGGGCACATGATCATCTCTGCTACTGCCCCTAAGGTATGTTGGCAAGGCTGAGTGAGAGCAGAGGTAAGATGGGTCAGGGTTAGGGCCCATAGGCTGATGCTATCTAGTAGCCAAGGCCAGGTGGGTCTAAGCTTTGGCTTTCTGGGACTCCAGGTGTCATGAGGTCCTGGTTAAAAAATGGCTCTTTGAAGCCATTCCCCTCTTTTGTGGAATAGAGCTAAGTATTCACTGGCCCAGAGCTATCACTGACCCTCCATCCCTGCCTTGGAACAGGTCCACATGCTGAGGAAAGCCAAGCAGAAGCCCAGGAAGACTGGCAACATCAGAGATACCCGAGTGGACACCTTGCCTGTTCCTGAGAGCAACCCTTAATAGAAAGAGGAGCCAAGATGAAGGGTCTCAACCACCTAGCCCCCCCTTGTCTTTGGTTCTTTTCCAAGTCACACATTGACTGGCCAACAAATGGACTTAGCTATACCACTGACCATAGCATCTTCATGGGTCTTGGGATGTTTCCATCCCTCATCCTTATCCAGTGTTATGTGCAAACTTAGGAGCAGGTAGGTAATGGCCATTGCTCATTCTGCCACAGTACTGGTCTATATGACTTGGGCATGAGGCTCTGGCTAGCCTGTCTTCTGCATAAGACTGGTCCTCATGAGGTAAGTGGAGCTGGTTCTGATAGGCACACTCCTTCCTTTGAAACCTCTCTTAGAGCCCTTTGGGCCCAACACTTCCTGATGCAGTCCATCCAGGTGGGCCCTCTGATCTTACTTTAGTTCTTTCAAAGCAGCTATCCCTGTTAGGCCCTGGCCTAGCAGATGTAAAAAGCTGCTTGTTCCTACTGCCCCCATTGGGTGAGTGTGGCATCCTCAAGTCCCCTGGGATTGTCATGAGACAGCATTTTGGGCTGAAGATATTAGTTGCAAAGTCTTATCCAGCTGGTGGCCCTGAGCTGAAAAGCTGTACCCAGGAAGGGGAAATCTTCATCTACCCTAAGGTTAGTTAAGTATAAGTGTCACAGCTGGAGTGTGTGCCAGGCCCTGAGTGTCCCTTCTCATCCCTGGAATGGGCACCTAATGCCCAGAAGAGATCAGAACAGGGCCAGGTAGTACCTGGTTGAAGAATGTGTAAATAATAACATCTGCTATTATGGAGTGGCTAAAACTCCCTTAGACTCAACTTATAGCACTTTATATACATGCTGTTTGCCAGCCCGCAGCCCTTCTTTATAGATGGAGAGCTTCTACTCTGGCTTCTACACAAACCAAGGCAGCTCTGGTGGCCAGGACTTGCTGGGGGTATCAGGGTCACTTCCATGTACCCAAGAATTTGTCACACCTCAGACCCCAGAGGGTCTGTGTAGCTAAGCCTCGTGGTGCATGCCTGTAATTCATTTCTTGGAGGCTGAAGCAAGTTCAAGACCTGACTGGCTGTAGAGCTAAAGCCCCTCTTGAAAAGTAAAAAGACCGGGGGGAGGAGGGGGGGAACACGGACACAACCCAGGATGGGGAGGACCTATGTGTAAAGTGTCTTGTGATGCTTACCCCCACAAACAAAAACAAACAAATAGGTCTTGATCCTTCTGCTATCATTGGGCTTGTGCTACTCTCAGAAGTGGCTATGGTGTTAACCAGGGGATCTACCTGGCTGGCAGCTTCATAGGGACCATTGTGCCACCTCTTCACCTGCTTCTGCCAAAAGTGCATACAAGTGCATCAGATAGCCATTTGTGTTCTCAGCATAGATGTCCCTCATGTTTACATCATTTTCTATGTTCAGAGAAATTGTGATGTAGTTTTTATTTCAATCTGTAGGAGCTGTTTGTAAATTATGGTCATTGTAGCATGTCCTCTGTATTTAAGTGAGATTGTCCCTTTGTGGAGTGTGTCCTGTCTCTGTGTGTAATTTATCACTACCTGAATGTGATCTAACTTATATCTGGGCCAAATACATTGTGGGCTTTGCTGTCCTGTAGCTGCCTCTTGTCTTTGTCCAACAACTGGGATAAACTGTTAGTCCCACCCACCAGGGGATCTACCTGGCTGGCAGCTTCATACTTCATGAGGATGTGAGCCAGACAGCAATTTCTCAGCCTGACTTAGCCCAGGCTCAACTGCCCAAAGGTTCTGAGCAGAAGGGTGGCCTGTGTGGCCACATGCAGGTCACAGCAAGGAAAAGGGGTGGTCTTCTAATCTTGGCTGGGCACTACTGCCTCTAACAAGACCTCAAGCCCCAAGCAGCTTATTCAGGTTAGTCAGACAGGTAAATTCTTCTGGCAGTGCTGGGGGTAGGGGGTAAAGAGGATAGTAAATGGGTAAAAGCAATAAAATTGTTCCCATGAAACCCCTCACTGCAAAATGTGAACAATGCTCATACGCTTGAAATAGATCTTGATATTTCACAATATATACAATACTCAGGCCAGTAAAACCATAGCCCCAGGGTCACAACACTTCTACCTGGAATGGGCAGATGTAGCTCCCTTGGCATTAGCAGGGGGCAGGCAAGAGCTGAGACTGAGACTCAGGTTCACTCTGGCCTGGTTGAGGGTGCTCTGGCCGGAGGTCCCATAGAACTTGAAGGCCTGCCAGAGCAAGGCGCACAAGGAGACGGAGCAGCAGGAAGGCAAAGGGCACTGCAATCTGCATGAGGTGGAAGATGGCTGTGCTGAACCGGCTCAGCAGGCAGGTGGCAGCAAAGGCCAGCAGGCTTGCACAGGGGTATAGTGCAAGCTTGGCAAACATGAAAGCATGCTCCTGCCCACCAAATCGCACAGCTGGCTGCAGTGTTTCTGTCTGATGCAGCAGGGCTGCAGTCCAGATGGCAAACTGGAAGATGCTGGCAAAGAAGATGATGGCACAGCTGACCCGCACACGCTCAAGTTCATCACGGGGTTGTCGGGCAAAAGCTGAGGTCTGTTGGTAGGCCAGAGGGAGGCCACCCACAAAGGCCAGTGACAGTATGTTGAGTAACCCCATGGTCTGTGTAGTCTTCCGGACATGCAGGAAGAGTGAATGGTGGGCAAACCAGAGCAGACCCACTGTGGCGAAGGAGCCGAAGTATGCCAGGAATTGTGGCCCATATGCACCCAGGGCAGCCACAAGGCTGCCATTGAATTTCTCTTGTACATCCTTGGGATCTGGAACGTTGTCTTCACTGGGAAGTATGAACAGATGGCATTTGTAATAGCCTCCCAAAGATGGCAGGACCAGAGGGGGTAGACCAAGCATCATAAGTGAATATGAATGACGTGTGATCTTTAGCACACAAATGTTCCCTATGTGCTACTTACATATTAAACAGTTACCACTCTTCTTCACTAAAACTGCAAATTTAACCAGTCCTGTATATTCTCTGTCAACTGGTGGCAGCCAGGAGTTGACAGTTAGTTCTGGTTCATTGGCCAGGCTAGCCTTCTGAGAGTAGGACACCTATATAAGGAGAGCCCCCACAGCTATCCTGAATTTTGCAGGCTGTATTGGAGCATAGAGTCTAGGGATGGGGACCCATCACCTGGACATAAATGACAGCACACCCAAGTATCCACTGCTTTCTCCAAATCAGCCAGAAGGAGGGACATAGGTGAGGGCAGAAGAGAAGAGCCTGAGGACTGTAATATGAGGTAAGACTCCAGGCAGGAGGAGGTGGCAGCCTTTTCTTGGCTAGAATTTCCTGCCCTAACCATGGCCTCTTAAATGTGAGTCCTTAAGCTCTAGCTGCAGAATGGAAACAAAAGGAGATTGTTTTGCAATGTTCTTTAAATCTAAGGCCTGAGGAAATCAGGTACATAAGAATTCGCAAATTATAGTAGAAAAAACCTACTCAAAACTATCAGAATCAGTGTCAGATACAACATCTAAAACCAGAGTTGTAACATGTTTAATAAGAATGCAATGGAGGAACCATAGGCTAGAGGAGGTCAAGAGGCTTAACAGGGAAAAAAAAAAAAAAAAAGCCCAGCAGTGGGGAGACACGGAAATAAGTGAGCACCCAAACTAGAGCTCCAGCAGTACTGTATCAGAGGAGCTGATGGAAGAGGATATATATATAGTATGGAAGAGGATAAGGCCTGAGGGAGCTGCCTGAGTACAAGGTAGCCTTGGAAAAGTTACTCTCACTAGTATCTGCGCTTTCAGGCTGAGAGCAACTGGATGGGAGACCTTTAGGGAAGAGGAGCCTACATGAACCTGCTGATACTAGGTAATACCTTTCTGGAGTTCCTAAGGACAAGACTCTCAAAGACATAGCACCTGGAAGATGTGCCAAAGCAGCAGAGTTGGGGTCCTCACCAGATGTCCAAGATGAGGAGTGTGGCCACAATGGCATAGACACCGTCGCTGAAAGCTTCCACTCGCTCTTTGCTGAGAGGTGCATGCAGATCAATACTGAAGGGCTCCACATTGTGAGCTGGAGACTCCCTGTGGCCTACAGACATGCCAAGAGAAAGAACTAGCTTAGGTGGGGGGACTGTCAGGCCAATGTGGCTATCACTGCCCTCTTCTCCAAGGGACCAGGAATATACAGGCCAGGAGGGGAAATAATGCAAAGATGTTTAAGGGGCAGGAAGCAGTCAGGGCCCAGCAAACTCACCACCTGAGCTGAGCCCAGAAGGGCAAGCCCTGAGCCATCACACACTGATGCCTTGTTCCCACTCAGAGATCCTTGGGAGTAGCCTGAAATCCAGCTTATTGTAGTACTGTGCATGGCCACCTACCCATGAGCTTGTCTTTGCACCAGGTGGTAGCCTTGCTGATATGAGGGAGGAAGATGACAGTCACCATCAGCACATAAGACTGCAAAAAGAAATAATAGGTCAGTGAATAGGGGCTGCTCACACCTGAAGTCTGTTCCCAGACTTCTGCCACAGATGGAGGGGCAGCAGGAACAACAAAGGAAAAGCCAGAGAACTGCCCTTTATGGTAGTAAACTGTGTAAGGGCACAATCCCAAAAGGAAGGACTATCATAAAGGGGATGTAAATACCAGCCATGTACTTTCTGAGTTTTGGAGAATTTAGTATCCCAAATACATGTAGAGTGGAAACAGGTTAACAACAAAAGGTAAGCATTCAACTAAGATATTAATGGGAATAGACTTAAAAGATACTTCACTTGAGACCTCTCCAGTCAAGGTCTGCTTCACTAGATGTTTCCCATACACAGTTCTGTTCTAGTTTAAAGTCTTTTGAGTTCTCTGGATCCCACCCACACAAAAAGTTAACCTCTCAAGGCTTTAAGGATGGCATCTGCAGCACTCACATCTGTTTAAAATCTGTAATATTCCTGAAAAGCTTATCAAACATTCATTAATTTTTACTCATTTAAATTACATTCATTACTCATTTTTTGTTTATATGCATGTGTCAGAGTGCTTATGCCCGTTACCAAACGTAAAATAACTAGCATTTGTTACTTTCCACAATTCTTAAAATACTTTGGTTTAAAATTCAATGTACTTTCACAGTACTTAAGTTGACCCTGGTCAAGCCAGCTTCTACAATCTGCTCTGAAAAAAAATTGTTTCAGCATCGCCTGTTCTTCTTCCTGTTAGCGAGCCTTGATTTTTTTTGACTGTGCTAAGACTTCCTCTCAGATTCCCAGTACTCACCAAGGGGAAAAAGAAGAGGGAAAAGACAGCTGCAACAAAACACAGTGCTGGGCCACGGAGGACTAGGCGCAAGATGTGTCGTCGGGACTGGGCCCTGTGTGTAGAACACTGGATCTGTGGATTTAGCAGGTGTGGGAAGTGGAAAGCATACCCCACAATCAGTGCCTGTGGTTAAAACAGAACAAAAACAAACAAATAAAACAGGCTATAGGGCAACATCAGCAGGTAGAGAGAGCATCAGTTAACCTTTGAGCCAACATACACATTTTTAGGGATTAGGAGTAGGAGGGTCCCTTCTTGATAGCCTCCTACCCTGGGATGTTCTGAGAGGCTGGGGTCAAGAAGAAGGCAGAAACTCTCATCCTATTCTGAGACTGAAGCCCTGGGCATGCCACATCCTGGATGTATTTATGGGTAAGACTGGGCTACTAGAGATATAGATCAGGATATTGCACATAGCCTACATACCCCATGGCAAAAACATATCCATATCCTATGTTCCTACCTGCACAGATCCAATGGCAATCACACACATGCAGAACAGGAAGATACCCAGGGGCACATCAGGGAACGTCACCATTAGAGAAAACTGTCAAAAGAACCCCCAAATCCCCCCAAAGGCTATCAGAGCTAGGCTCTGGGTGGTATATAATGAGCTTCCCTGTTTCTGTACTGAGCACTGAGAAGAAATCTGCCCTAGTGTGGGAACAATGGTATGGGGCAAGGCGTGGATATATTCAGCTCTCCAACAGAGAAATTCCATTCACTGCTTTATGGCTTTCAAGCCAGTATCACTAACCTCATGTATAATCCCTCAGATCTGAATTATCTGCATTATAGCCTTGTATACAACAGCCTATATTAGAATTTAAAACACTTGTTCATCTGCTAGTGGGGGCTATGGAGAGAGGCAAGTGGGAACAAGGGGCACCAGGACACTCTCAGTGGCCTCTGCCTCCAGTAGCCCTACACTCCTTCCTCTACTCAGCCCCAACCACTAGTTCCCTAGAACTCTTTCCCCTCTCTAATTTGTAGTCCAGATCTTGAACCTGCATTTCTGAGGACTGCCACACACAGATGTGTTCAGTGAGGTGTGCAGGGAAATTATCTTTACTCACTGTGTAGGGTAGAAGGGTGATGGTCATCATACAGGCCTGTAGTGAAAGGAAAGGAGGAAGGTCACTGTCACCAGGAAGTCTGGAGAGTAAGAGGCACTCCAGGAAAGCAGTAATATATCTATAGCAATTGTGGAGCTAAACCCAAGAAGCCTGTGCCCCTGTCCTGGACAGACTGACCCCATAGGCTATCTGAGGAGCTTCGAGGAATGGACAGAATCCAGACAATGGGGACCCATACCTTGTCCTACCTTTCAGGAGGGCTAAATCATACCTAAACACCAATAACTCACCAGGTTGAACAAGGCAAGTGTATCATCTATTTTCCCAACAACCTGGAACAATCTAAAGTTAGGAAAAAGAGAAGATGGGCCATCAATCAAATATGGCTCCAATAATATTAAAATTAAAATATACTTCCCACAGTCTTTTCTAATTAAAATATCATTGAAGATGTCACTTTTGATCAAATTTAAGATACTATTAGTGGGACTAATGAGAAAACTTAGTAGGCAAAGGTTCCTATTAAGTCTGAGAACCTGTGATCTCTGGACCCACATGACAGGAGAGAGAACCCAATCTTACAAGCTATCCTTTGATTTTGACACACACACACACACACACACACACACACACACACAAAATAAAATTAAACTTTAAAACATATAAATACTACCTAGCCTATGAAAATCAGAACACTCAGTAGCTCATGTGGGGAAGCATGTATCTTTTCCACACATTCTTCCCATTATTTTGAAGGAACAGTTTACAGAAATCACTTACAGTCTTTTCATAGAAAGCCTTGAGGAAGACTTCTGCACAAAGGTTGGGGATTTTAACTGTCCAGGGAGGTTCTGCTAAGGACAAGACTAGTAGGGTGGGTGGCTGTAGCTACCTGTCCTATGAGCTTTGTCCAGCCACACTTAATGGGAATCAGTCTCTGGGGAAATGGAGCTAGAGTTCTATTATGCAATACACTTGTTTTTTATTCATTATGTCTAAAATCCATTTTGAAGAAAGGATATATCCTTTTCTCAGTTTTTTCCCCAAAGATTTCATACACTTCACTGTTGGAAGTTGTTATTTAACAAAGAGATGGTTTTATATGGAGATAGTATAATATAAATAAAAAGCAAAATGGAGCACCCTCCTTCATGGAAATGAGCACAGGTTGCCAAGAATCCTGAAGCTTACTCTAATGCCTGGGCCCTACAATAGGGTTGCCTCCAATGGTCTTTGACTGTGCCTCAGGGTACCACCATCTCTTGGACTGGATTCAGCTGAACTGGCATTATCACTCTAGAAGCTACCTCTAGCTCATGTCAGTGACATAGGCTCATTTGGGATGAAGTCTTAATATGCCAAATAGAAGGGGCTGCAACCCCAGGGATAGCAGTTCTACTGCCTACTTGCTGGTACTAAGACCATATGTCTAAGTGAGCACACAAAGCAGGATATAGAACATATCTACAAAGTTACTCACAGGCTCCTTGGGCCTCAGAACCCTGCTGTTGATGTTTTTCATAGTGGATGTGGCCCTTTGATGAATGAACCATGATGCTGGTATAGGGAAGGTTGGCTAAAGCTACAGGCACCCACCAGACTGTGAGCCTCTTGGACATTCCATAAACAAGGAAGACCAAAAAGATAAAGCCTGCCTAATTCTTGAAATAGAAAGGCCATCTATCAGCATCATCTTGCTGAGAACAAGTGTGTAATGTTAAACATTTTTCTGCACTTTTAAATGTACTTTTAAAGAGCAGTGAGCTGGATGCATGCCTTTAATCCCAGCATTTAGGAGGCAGAGGCAGGCAGGCAGGTTTTCTAGATAGTCTCTCTGTCTCTGTCTGTCTGTCTGTCTGTCTGTCTATCTGTCTGTCTGTCTGTCTCTCTCTCTCTCTCTCTCTCTCTCTCTCACACACACACACACAGAGCAGTGACTCTTAACTAGGATCTGTGGATTTTTTGCACCAAGCATTGTCTAAAGAGTATTTTCTTTGAATATGCTGATCTTCAGCCAGGAATGCAACACCATCATGCCCATTTCTGCCCAAGGAAGCCTCCTGTCTCTCCTGTAAATCCTGTAAATCTCCTGTAAATCATGACAATGAGAACTTACCTGGTATGTGCTGCCCATGCCACAGTTACAATTAGAAATGTCATCAGGTAGACTGCAATCCTGGTTGCTAGAAGTTTCTGTATACTTTTGTCAAATTGCTGTATGGAAAGAAGACTTCTATTAAAACAAAGTAACACATGTGACCCAACAATGGTCATTTCAACAACAAGACTTACCCTAATGCACAGCAAGACATTTATCAAGGTTCCCAGCCTCAAAGTATACAGTCCATGTCTGCTCCTGATCTAACCACACTTATCCCACCTCCACTCATAAAGGTATCTTTTGCAGGCAGTTTTCCTAAAGCAATAGATTCCTTGGGTGTCACAAGCTGACACCATCACCTTAAGTGGATAAAGGTTCTGGCTATCAGCTAAGTTGCTGTCAAGGAGAGTGTTAAACAGCTAAACAGTCATAGTATAAGGGATACAAAGGAGAAAAGGCATCCAGCCTTTTTAGAGTACCATTAATTGCCTTCTAAAGTGTTCACTTCAGGGTTTAAGTTCAAACATGTGAATTCTTGAGGCACAGAGACATCTAGGCTATAGCAAGTTTAGATTTAGTATAGCCACGGGGAAGGACACCTCTAAATATCCCCAGTGAGATTACAAGCAGAATGGGTTGGCCATAGACACCCCTCAAAAGGGCTCAAAACAGAAACCAGTGTACTGAAAAGAAACCTCTTACCTCTGAAAATGTGATAAGGGAGCTTTATACCTTTTAAACATATTCAGAGAAACTGACTGGTTTATTGGCTTCATTAGATCTTCTTATGCAAGTAACCCTTTGGATCAGTGACTTGAAATTTCAAAATCATACTTCAAATGCTTTCACAAACATTTATTTGTTTGTATGTTTTTATTTTTTCTCTCTGCTCTCCCTCCCACCAGTGCAGGGGATGGAACTCAGGGCCTCATACATACAATGCAAGTGTCCCCACCACTAAGCTATACTCTCATATCTCTTTTCACTTTTGGGTTGTTTTTGTTTGTTGTTGAGACTGAGTTTCCTTGTGTTAAGTTCTGTCACTCCTGTAACTTACTTTGTAGACCAGGTTGGACTTGAACAGAGATCCATCTGCCTCTGTGAGTGCTGGAATTAAAGGTTTTTGTTTGTTTGTTTTTGAGTTAGGGTCTCTCTACAATAATCCGGGTTGTCCTGGAACTCATTATGTAGACCCGCCTAACCTCAAATTCACAGAAATTCACCTGTCTCTGTGTCCCAAGTGCTGGGGTTAAAGGCACCTAACTTCCACACCTGGCCTCTCCTTTTTATTTTGAGACAGGGCCTAAATTGCTCATGCTGGCATTGAATTGGAAACCTTTTGCCTCAACCTCCAGAGCAGCTATTGATCACAGGCAATTTGCCACCGGGTCTGGAAGTTAAGTCTTCTATTTAAAAATTGGGCAGAAGCCAGGCATGGTGCCACAAACCGTTAATTCTGCACTTGAGATGCAGAGGCAGGCAGATCTCTGAGTTTGAGGCCAGCCTGGTCTACACAGTGAGTTCCAACACAGCCAGGACAACTTACATAAAGAGACCCTGTCTCAAAAAACAACAAATTTTAAAATTTCAGTACCAGGGATGAAAACTACAGACTCATTCATGCAGGCTAGGTAAACTCTCTACCACTAAGTATCTTCTCAGTATGCTTTTATATTTTATTTAAGTTTTTTGAAACATGTTCTCAATACGTAGCCTTGACTAGTCTGGAGCTTGTAATGTAGACAGGCCACTAGCAGGCACTTTCTCATCAGAACAGCTTTAAGCACAGAACAAGTATAGTCTGATGCTCAGGTCTCTAAAGTTTAACTTTTGTTGTAACTATAGTTCAAAAGAAAAAACCTCAGTAGTTTTGGGGCCTCCCCAAACATCTACTTCAGCTTGCAGGGATGGCAAGATCACATCTCATTGTTGTGGGGCCAGCTAAGTAGAGCTGCTGCAACCTACCTCCTTGAGGATTGTATGGTGGCATGCCAATCACATGGATGAAACAAAAAAAGGCACTTCAGTGCTGTCCAACTCTCAAAGTTGCTTCACTGAAGCTCTACATGTTGTTGACTCAGAAAAAATAAAAAAATCCCATAAAGTTGGATACAAATGGAATCACTTTTAAATGGTTCTTTGCTACCCACTCAGAACTGTTTTGTGGGGTGGACATGCTTCCTTTTGTCTCAGTGGAGGATATGCTACCTGTCCACCTAGCTAGAAATAGTCTTTGCAGGACCCCCACCACCACCTACTCTAAGTACATATCCTGCTAGGAGGAAACACAAATGTCCTGCCCTCTCAATAAATACCCTGCCTTGGGCTCTGCTGCCTACAGATTGGGGGGTTGGCTCCCCAAGTCCTGATTGGGTTTTCTTATTGGCTCACTGTATAAATCAGTCTGTTCCTGTTACCTGTTCTGGTGAGATCTCTGTGTGGGTCACAGGCAGGATCTAAAGGAATAAAGACAAAAAATAACCAAGAGATACTTTTTGGGCTGTGGATCCCCAGAGGCAGAGGTATGTGAGCTCTTGACAATTGCTGTGCAACCCCACCTTCATGAAGGGCTTGGGCATCTGAGGCTGCTGTATGTAGAAAGCAGGGTGGGTTTGAGATGGGCCCATCACTGACCATGACAGTAGCAATGATGGAGAGCAGAGCATCACTGAAGCCCAGCATGCGGTGGGAGTTCTGGGTCCCCTCCTCATTTCTCCCGTATTGGTATGATTCTCCCTCGGAATCCACTGACTGCTCCTGGGGCCTAGACATGGTGGGGCCACTGAGTAGTCACACCAGCCTGGGAAGAAGTGTAGCTCTCAGCATATCAGTTGGATGTCCCAGGTGGCCAACCTTGTGGACTTTGGTCATTTCAATGAAGAAACAAGGGCTAGGTATGGAGACAAAGAAAGACATTTCACAAGGTAGCCCCATCAGATTCCAGCCACAGGCTAGGAGTATCAGCATTAGACTCATCAGTGAGTTCTGTGATTGGGATGATACATTCTCAGTCTCAGTGGGAAAGCACTGATGATACAGGGTAGTAGCTCAGCATACCATGGTACCAAGGAAGGCCTGCGATCTGACTCCAAGTTTCCCCTACAAGCTGCTTTATCAGGGTTGAGCATGTCTCCTGACTAAAGATAATGTTGCTGAGAGCTGTAACTACTTTAGCTCACAGCAGGGTCTGGGATATTTTTAAGTTGTTCAGAAACAATTCTGGGTAGAAAAATGAGATGCCAGCTGAACCATTCTCTGGGGAGGAGAGATATTTGTGACCCATGAGCAAAGGACTAAAGTACAGCCTTGGAACCCATCTGTATTCTACACTGAACCCAGTGGAAGGACATTGAAAACCACTCAGTACCTATAGAATAAGGAAGGAAGGGCCACAGGGAAGTGTTTTCAAAGTCCCCACTTGAAATCATGGGAGAGAAGATAGGAGTGTGTCAAGGATGGCCAGAAGGATGAAGCTGTGACCAGGGGTAAGGTGGAATATATCTACCCAGAAATGTTTCTGGGAAAGCAGGTCCTGAGACTATACAAGGAAAGTTAATGCCTGGGTGCAGAAGGGCAAGCCAACCAGCCCAACAACATAAATGTACCTTGCTTTGGACATGTTTACTAAGACATGGGAAAGACAGCCTCAGGCAGCAGAGGTAAGAAAGGAGGCTGTAAGGATATAAAAGTCACCAGCACAGTTAGAGGAAATGAAGTTGAAAGGTGGGCAGTCAAGGGTAGAAGGGAGTGATACTCTCTGGGAGAACGAGAAGTGGGAGCCAGGAACTTGAAGGATGAAGCTTTAGGAAGGGTAGTCACAAGCACAAGCCCTTTAACATAAAAGTATGACTGGTTTACTCTGAGGAGGATGCTGTTGACCTAACATTAGGTTCCATATAATCAAAGGCAAGGGGGGTAATAAGGCAATGCTGCTTTAGCAATCAAGCACAAGCTTTCACCAGGATGATACATAAAAATCAAAGGGATAAAAGAAGGCAACTAGCAAAGAAAAAAGAAAAAAGAAAAAAAAAAAAAAGCAATTTTCAGACAGGAAAAAAAAAATAAGCTGCAAACAAATATATATATAAGGCATTCAGGCTGAGTACAGCTCAGTGGGAGATAGCCTACCTTACACATATGATGCCTTGGGTTTTATCCCCAGCACTGCAAAACAAAGAAAAAAAAATCAACTTTACTAATAACCAAGGAAAGCAATGAGGTACTAATTAGAATGGTAAAGATCCTTACTCAAAAGCTAGGAAGACATTTGCTATATTAGGGAGCAACAGAGGCCATATTTGAACTGGCAGTAACAACTCTAGAGGTGCAATGAATACCCTTACAGGGAAGCAACTGAATCTGAGGGGACATGACTGGACTGCACTGAAGCAAGGTTTGTTACAACAAAAAATAAAAATAAAATAATATGACTAATTATTAAGCAATTAATCTGTGGACCCTACAAATGAATCCAGAGGGATAAAATTAAAATACAATGCTGAGAACAAAAAAGAAAAAACAGCTACAAAAAGGCAAGTTCTATGTCATCTTCCTTGTTTATGATAATAAAAAACAAAAACACAAACAAGAACAGATTTATTAGCTCCAGAACAAGCAGGTGGTGCCTGGATGACAAGGGCAGGCATGAGTAGCAATATGGTTTTTTGTTGTATGTCTGGTTTACATTCACTTAAGGCTCACTCCTTATATCAGTGGTTCTCAACCTTCTTAATGCTGCAACTCTTTAATATAGTTCCTCATATTATTGTGATCCCCGACCATAAAATTATTTTCATTGCTACCTTATAACTGTAATTTTGCTATTGTTATGAATAGTAATGTAAATATCTGTGTTTTCTGATGGTCTTAGGTGATCCCTGTGAGTTTGAGGCCAGCCTCGTCTACAGAGCGAGTTCTAGGACAGGCTCCAAAGCAATACAGAGAAATCCTGTCTCAAAAACAAAACAAAACAAATCAAACAAAAAGGTACTTTGTGGTACTCAAAGACCAAGACCAGCCATGTAAAATGGTCAAATTGTATACTTCAAAGACTAGTGAACATGGTCATTCCAAGATCTACCTGGTTGGCAGTGACATATTTACTAAGATGAAATATGAAGATATCCGCCTGTCAACTCCTAACATAGATGTCCCCAACATCAAAGAGAATGACTCCCATTTGACAAGCATTCAGGATGGGTATCTATACCTGCTCCAGGATAATAGGAAAATATGAGGGCTTTTGCCTGCCTGAGAAAAATCTTGCTAAGAAGATTGAGAAGTGTTATTGTGGAGAAGAGATTCTAAGTCTGCCCTGACAGATGAGGCAGCTGTTGCAATCCAGGCTGTGGCAAAATAACTGGCTCCCAGGATAGGGTGGCTATGGTAGCAGCAGAGCCTACAGATACTCCCTTCCCCAGCAGATTCTGCTCTGGCTGGGCCTTTTGTTGAACATATTTTGGGTTTTTCACTCTTTCAAACTGTAGGGGGGGACCCTGCCCTTCACCTAGCTCCTTTGACCAGGAATGAGGGGAACCACGGTCTTGGTGAACCTACCTGCCTCTTTCCCTTACAGCCCTGGTAGGAGAAAGGGAATGGGTGCTACTCATGGTTTAGCTTCTCTCCCACTTCTTTTAAATTCAGTTTGGAACCAGTAATCTGTGGATTCTGGCAATGGTCTTATATATATATATGAATTTTTTTATATATGAATTTTTTTAAATGAACGAAGAATACACACATTTTGCCAAAGAAGTTATGACTCCTTAAGAGAGACTGAACATCATTATACTGCATTAAGGCCATGATGAGACTATATCCTACTAGGATGGCTGTAATGAAGATGAAAATGAGCAATGTTGATAGGGATGTTGGCAAACTGGAACACTTGTATACTGTTGGGGGGAATGTCAAATTATACAGTTACTGTAGAAAACAGTATGACAGTTGATTAAAAAAATAGGATTACTACAGGATCACTTCTAGATATTCAAAAGAATGGAAAGCAGAAAAGCAGAGACTTTTAAAGTATTTATGCACCAATGTTCACAGAAACTACATTTAGAATAATTAAACATCAAACAAAATATGTATATGTAAACATAGATCTATATACAACAGAATATTGTTCAGTTTTAAAAAGGAAGTTCTGATACACACAGATCTTAAACATTTTATGCTAACTGAAGCAAGTCAGTTATATAAACACCAATCAGCAAGATTCCATTTAATGAGGTCCCTGGAGCAGTCAAATCCATAAACAAAGTAAAATGGCCAGATGAATAGTTCTGTAAATGGATAATGATGATGGATGTTCAAGAATGTGAATGTGCTTAGTACTATTAAACTGTACACTTAAAAATGACTAAAATAGGGAGGCAAGATGGCTAAGAGATAAAAGTGCTTGCTATGCAAGCATGAGGATCTTGGTTCAGATCCTCAGCCCCCATATAAAAAGCCAGGTGTGGGAGTACACTTCTGTAATGCCAGCACTGAACAACACAAACAGGAGGGTCCTGGTGGTTCACTAGCCATTCAGCATAGCAAAATGATGAGCTCCAGGTTCAGTGAAAAATGCTGCATCTAAACAAACAACAAAGATAGAGAATGATAAAAGAAATCCGGTGTTGACTTCTGGTGTACACACATGTATGTGCTCATAACACACACACACACACACACACACACACACACACAAATGTATTTGTGTTTTGCCTGAATGTACGTAGGTGCTGGATTTTGGAGTTACAGGCAAGTGTGAGCTGCCATGTGGTAGCTGGGAATTGAACCTGGATCCTTTGGAAGAGTAGTCAGTGCTCTTAACCACTGAGCCATCTCTCCAGCTCCCTAAAACCTTTATTTTTAATTAGAAGAAAAATGATAATAGAACCTAGAGTATCTTATCTTTCTCTGTGTAGTCCTAGCTTTCCTGGAACTTGGTCTATAGACCTGGCTAGCCATGAACTCAAGAGATCCACCTGTCTCTGTTGCCAGAGTGCTGGGATTAAAGGCATGCAACACCATGCCCAGTTCATATACCAGTTTTTAAGACACATGTCAATGAAGAAAAAAAGACAAGACTGAAAATAGTGGGATATGGAGTTGAGGGATGGTGATTTTAAAAGACAGAAGAAATTCAGAAACAAAAAAAGAAGAAGAAGCTTGAAACTCAACATGAGATAGTACCCAAAGCTTGTTTCTGGGCTATACCTACTATGTACTATACTAGGACCTAGAAACAAATCATTGTATACATTAGGCACACAAGTGAGCAGGGAGAGGATTTGTTGGATGAACTTTGAAGAATGGGCCTACCCACGACCCAGAATGAGAGATTCCAGACAGTATTTGAAATGAGCATGATGGGAGAACAGTAAGTGACATTTGTCAAGCATTATTCCAAGTGATTCACACTTAATCTTTTTCTTACTATTTTTATTACTTTATGTGTATGGTTGTTTACCTGCATGTATGTCTGTGTACCATGTGCATGGCTGGCACCACTGAGTGACAGAAGAGTGCCTCAGATCCCCTGGAACTAAGTTACAGGCAGTGTATGCAGTCATGCAGGTGCTAGGAATTGAACTCATGTCCTCTGAAAAACAGCCAATGCTCTTAACTGTTGAACCATCTCTCTAATCCTCACATTTAATCTCTAATATCCAATTTTGTTAGAATTAACAAACAGCAAAAGCAAGAGAGAACTCTAACAGTGAAAGCCTATGTGCCAAAGTACTAAAGCTTGAGAAGACCAGAGCACAAAATCATAACTGAAAGGTACATGCAAAGATGATCGGACTATATCCCACAGACTTCTGCATCATCCTGGAGTCTAGAATCTAGAACTACCAAGATTATGTTGTATTATATCTCCAGACCTTAGTGAAACTG